GGGACCTTGGCGGTCCGATCCTCGGCTGCAGAAGCTAGCTCTAGGGACATGGAATGTCACCTCTCTGGTGGGGAAGGAGCCTGAGCTGGTGCGCGATTTTGTGAAGTTCCGGCTAGACATAGTCGGGCTCACCTCGATGCATGGCTTGGGCTCTGGAACCAGTCTCGTTGAAGGGGGTTGGACCCTCTTCCACTCTGGAGTTGCCTGCGGGGAGAGGCGCCGAGCGGGGGTGGGCAAACTTATTGCCCCCTGGCTGGGCGCCTGCACATTGGGGTTTACCGCGGTGGACGAGAGGGTAGCCTCCCTTCGCCTTCGGTTGGGGGGATGGGTCCTGACTGACTGTTGTTTGCGCTTATGCACCAAACGGCAGTCTAGATTACCCACCCTTTTTAGAGTCCCTGGAAGGGGTGTTGGAGAGCACTTCTCCTGGGGACTCTTTTGTTCTACTGGGGGACTTCAATGCCCACATGGACAATGACAGTGAGACCTGGAGTGGCGTGATTGGGAGGAACACCCCCCCCGATCTGAAACCGAGCGGTGTTTTGTTGTTGGACTTCTGTGCTCGTCATGGATTGTCCATAATGAACACCATGTTCAGGCATAAGGGTGTTCATATGTGCACTTGGCACCAGGACACCCTAGGCCGCAGTTCGATGATCGACTTTGTAGTCGTGTCGTCGGACTTGCGGCCGCATGTCTTGGACACTCGGGTGAAGAGAGGGGCGGAGCTGTCAACTGATCACTACCTGGTGGTGGGATGGCTCTGCTGGTGGGGGAGGAAGCCGGCCAGGCCTGGCAGGCCCAAGCGTATAGTGAGGGTCTGCTGGGAACGTCTGGCTGAATCCCCTGTCAGGAGGAGTTTCAACTCCTACCTCCGGCAGAACTTCTCCCATGTCCCGGGGGAGGTGGGGGACATTGAGTTCGAATGGGCCATGTTCCGCACCTCCATTGTGGAGGCGGCTTACCAGACCTGTGGCCGTAAGGTAGTCGGTGCCTTTCGCGGCGGCAATCCCCGAACCTGCTGGTGGACGCCAGTGGTGAGGGATGCCGTCAAGCTGAAGAAGGAGTCCTATCGGGCCTTTTTAGCCTGTGGGACTCCAGAGGCAGCTGACAGGTACCGGCATCGGGCATCTGCTTAGGATGCCTCCTGGACGCCTCCCTGGTGAGGTGTTCCGGGCATGTCCCACTGGGAGGAGGCCACTGGGAAGACCCAGGACACGCAGGAGGGACTATGTCTCTCGGCTGGCCTGGGAACGCCTCGGGATTCCCCCAGAGGGGCTGGATGAAGTGGCCGGGGAGAGGGAAGTCTGGGTTTCCCTGTTGAAACTGCTGCCCCCGTGACCCGACCTCGGATAAGCGGGAGAAAATGGATGGATGGATGGATGGATTATATTTTTCCCCTTCAGAGGCAGCTCCTAATGGTCCAGATATTCTGACATTAACAATGGAGGATCTTAATGAACTTCTACCAGGAGAACGAAATTGTCAAGTTCGAAGACACGTCAAGGGTCTCATTGATGTATTTTTACAGGTAAACCACATTAAGTAACAAAACATTATATTGCAACCATAAATATTTTTTATTGTAATTTGCCTAAAACAGTTATTATCATAGACATTTCGTAGAGTAGACCCTACAGACTATCAGAATTTGCATGTTACCTGCCATCTCACTGCTAGTGTCTGACTTATCTCGTCAGTCTTAACACCGTCCACAAAAATAAACAGGACCATGCAGAGACTTTTTGAGCAGCAGGTGCTCAGAGGTAAAAAAAGGTGCATCAGTACCTTTTGATTAATGTAATAAAGCCACAATACTCTAGTAATAATTGTGAACGTAGTAAGTGTATTGTATGAATAATTAAAATAATTTGTGTAAGATGGGCTCAGACAAACCCCCACCCCACATGTGCCTGAGATGTAGTACTTGCTTATAGTTTATTCTGAGTTTGTGCCTATTACTTTTTTAATGTGTTCACATTTTTATTTGGTTTTCTGGATTTTGCTTTGATTACTCTGGCAGGTTTTTCCTACTGTGAAGGAGGAAGACCGACAAAGTATGGATTCAAGCCTAGCTGATGTCATGAGTAAGTTGTTATAATGTGTTTGTTACATTATAACTTCATGATGTGTAACAGTTTCCTTAGGGGACTGTATGGCGTAAGAGCATGAAAAAGTATTAATATCAGTGATCAGTTTTAGATCCTGAGCAATTACAGGTGGAAATCAGTACTACAGTATGGAAGAATTGCAGCAATTTATTTCTGAAAGTTAAAAAATGAATGCAGGGGTTGTTAGGGGTTGAAACACAGGGGTATTTGTTGGAGTTCAGGTTCAATCCATCAATAAGTTGTGTATAAACATTTTTACTTAGTCAGAGAAAACCAAACATAGCAAGCTTTGCAATTTTAATGATGGTTCCTTTTTCAGCTCTATCTAGTATCGGTCTAAGAAATCAGTCTAAAGTTTACTGCCACTTGGCGGCAACAGCATGAGGCACAAGAAGAGTCAGTGGACGATAAGCCATCGAACGAAGACAAGCCAGCAAACCCCTCACTACAGCAGTCAGTCTCTGAGAATAATAAGTAATGGGCAGATATTTAGGCTTATTTATCACATACACGGTTGTACACATACAACATGTAGTGAAATATAACCTTGGTCTCTTCGAGCAGCTGTGCATAATAAGAGAATAAGAACATGGAAAAATATAAATGATAAATGATATAAAATATAAAGATAACAATATAAAATAAAAAATATATTAAATATATTCAGCTATGCATAATCTATACATAAGTGACATGGTCAAAGTGATTGTGCTGTGCAATATAAGCGCAATGTGCAAGAGACTTGAGAAATGTACAGACAATTATAGACAGTATAACCTGAATGTAAACATTGCTCATAGGATTATGGGGACACGTACGCAGTGTGATGTTAGTCACTGTAGAGTCCGGTGGAAGTACTAAGGGCACTGAGACTTAGGTTTAGGTTTAGGTTTAGGAGCCTTATGACCTGGGGAAAAAAAGCTCTTCTTTGACCTTTCAGTTCTGGTCATAAGGCTGCGAAACCATTCACCATCCTCCCCAGCTAAGATGGGCTTTACAGTGTGGCTCCCTGGGGGTATATAGATCCCCAGTTCCTTTCCAATGTTCCAAAGATCATTTCAAAATTTCTTGGGGAAAGCTAGCACAATCATCCACTAAATCCTAACAGTAGTGATAAGAAGGTGGACCAGAGTCCTACGAAACTATAGTACACAATTTCTCATTTCCCTTTTCCACCTTTACCCCTTCTGTAGTATACATCAGTCTCAATTTACACAAAATATCTGGTCCTGGCAGGATTACTGGACAGGAAGTGGACACTGAGAATGAATGGATAAATTCCCCAGTTTTAAATTCTCTACAAGTTACCTGGAGAGATTTAATAATTGGCTGTGAAGTGGGGGTTCCTGAAACACCACTTCTGACTTTCCTGACAAAGGGCATTTTTAGGGTCTGCTCACAGCAAGCAATGTGTGGCGCCAGTGTCTGCTAAAAGTACATTAACTTCCAAAGTCAAACAGGGCAGCTCGTGGAGAAGAGTGACAACTGGAAACTGAACCCAGTACGTCAGTATGGAGATTCCTGAGTTGTTCTTGGTTTAGGGTGGTCACAGTGACCCTCTCTGGATGCTGGATCTGATCACAGGAATCATTCTTTGCGTTCTGACATGGTGTGGGCTGTCACGTGCCATGTGATCTGGTAATCCTCAAACAAAACAATGCCCTAGATAACAACACCTCTGGTCAAAGCTCCTCTCTCCGACAGTACTGTAGGTCTGCTTTGTTGGACCAGCCTATTCAAGGCCATCACATAGAGAAGTTCCATCTTTCTTTGGATCCGGGCGATCACTTATAATGTCATCCAGTTCTTTCAATTTCCAGAGACGGTAAACTAAAATATTATCTCCCCATTTTGGATTAGAGCATTCCAACATAGGGGTTAGAAAATCATTAGGCAGCCTTTAATCATGGACTGCCTGCTGACGATGGGTCAATCGTGCAGGACCAGAGGATGTAGAATCAGGAACTGGGTGGGTGACATCATCTTCAATCCTAGGGAAAGGATCTTGAGCAAAATCAATTAGAGCACCACTCCTAACTGCCCTGGCCTCAGCTGCTAGATAGGGAATCGGATGAACAGGAGGTGGTACTACCAGGGCAGGAGGCAGTGGTGCTACTGGAGCAGGAGGAACACAGTCAAGTTCTGGATACAACTTAGTAGTAGACACCATCACCAGGGCAACAGGAATGGACTTCGTTCAATGACTCCTTGCACTATACACCTATACTTGTACGTAGACCCTCATATACTCATTATCTCAGCCACTAAGGTATGGTCCCCCACTGTCCACCACAGCTTTAATGAAATGTATTGTACTGGACTCTAAACCCCCTTCTTCAGGCCACTGGCCCTTCTTGTACTTACACATCTCATGCATGGGTGCAATGCAATATTGTTGTCCATACTCTCTCTTCACTATACTTAATGGAGTATCCCAACCACTCTATCCTACTGCTGCTCTCTTCCTCATTCCTTGTAAACGGCCACTCCTCTCTATTACGTACTTTATTCTCCCATAGTTTAAACGTCCGTTCACATTACCCTTACTCTGGATGCACTTATTCCCTGAACAACCACCCTGATACCTTTCCTCTAATTTCTCGCACAGCTGACTTACAGTAGCTGATTCAGGCTAAAACTACCATTTTCAGGAAAACCTTCTCGTCCATAATCTTAATGAGACCCTGTTCTCCCTTACATTTCAAATGATTCTTTCCCTTATTCCTCCCCCTGCCCTCATTTTTTTTTTCTTCCCGCCTGATTTTTTCCTGCTGGGACACGCTAATACAAAATACACAGTCATGAAAAACATGTAACACATGCTCACATTGTATCCTACACAACCTGCATGCTACTCAGACGCTTTAGGGCAATGGGACTCAGCTTCCAGGTCTTAAGGGACAAGCTCAGAAACTAATTTTAGACAGGCTTTCTGTTTGTATGGGTATATCATGTATAACATTGTATACAGAATGAATTTAAAAACACAGACACAGAGAAACAAACTATTCTTTATGGTCAGCAGGGGGTGGAGTAGAGACAGGAAATGAACTTGGGACCAGAAGGTTCCATCTTTCTCACTATTGTGTCCTTGCTACGTTGTATAAATTTATGCTTACTTGGTAAACATTCTGCTGTAAGTACATAGAACGCTATCTCAATAAGACTCTGCTAAGGGGTGTATGATACTTTCTGTTTGCAGCCAAATATGATATATGACCAGCTACAGAGATACATATATTATGTTTTTGAACTGAGGACTATTTTTCCCCTTCAGAGGCAGATCCTAATGATCCCGATATTCCGACATCAGCAAGGAAGGACCTTAATGAACTCCAACCAGGTGCACATGTTGATCAAGTTCAAAGACACATCATAGGCCTAATCAATGTGTTTTTACAGGTAAACCACATTAAGTAATTTTATTATAGGCATTAATTGTAATTTATTGAAAAATCATAGAAATTTTGTAGACTAGATCTTTCAGATTCTCTTGCACATTACCTGGCATCTCACCTCTAGTGTCAGAATTACTGAATCACTTCTCGGCATTCTCAGCACCATCCACAAAAATAAACAGGGCTCTGCAGAGACCTTTTGAGCAGCAGATGCGTAAAGGTAAAAAGGGACATTCAGTGCCCTATGTATCATGTACGGGCAAAATGGAGGACACAGGAGCAGACTTTAGGGCAAACAAAAAGGATTATATTAACAAAGTGGGAACTGGAAAATAAACAGCATCACAGGGGATCAGAAGGGGAGTCAAGCCCACAGGCAACACGATAACACAACTTCAGTGACAGAACTGGGGAACACAGAACTGGGAAGCACTTTTATACAGAGCTAAAGAGGAGCAAACAAGAGGCAGCTGCAGTGAGACAACATGAGGGCAGGAACGAGAGGTGAGGAAAACGTGGAACAAGCGTGGCTTGTTAGAGCCAGGTTAGGGAGAAACTGGAGGAGCAGGCAGGCCGGGCGTGACACTAATTATTGTAATATACTCACAAAACTCCAATAATAAATGTGAATATAGTAAGTATAATTGTATTAATAATTCAAATAGTTTGTGTAAAAGGGGTGGGCTCGGGCACCCCCAGCCACCACGCCCCCCACCCACATGTGCCTGAGATGTAGTAATTGCTTACAGTTTATCCTGACTTTGTGTGTGTTACTTTCTTAATGTGTTCACATTTTTATTTGGTTTTGTGAATTTTATGGAAATATTTTGATTAATTTGACGTTTTCTTCCTGCTGCAAAGATGCAAGCTGGACAAAGTATGGATTCAAGCCCAGCTGATGTCATGAGTGAGTTGCCTAAGAAAATGTGTTTATTATAATTCAACTTCATTATGTGTAACGGTTTTTTTAGGGGATTGTTTTGCAGTAAGTGCAACAAAAAGTGTTTAATATCAGTGATCAGCAATAAGCCGGGCAGCCTGTAGGTTAGTGACATCAGTTTTTTTGCTGAAAAAATTATTTTGTTTAAATTATTTATTGTGGTGGCTCTGAGGCTAGGGATCTATGCCAGCAATTGCTGAATGAGACAGATTTGTGATGAGACAGATTTACTTCCATAAAACAAGGGCAGAATCATTTGTTATTTTGAATACGTGTGCACTTGCCAGGAATGTGCTGGTATAAAAGTAGCAAAACCACACTGCGCTGCACTTTCCGCCGTTGCAAAATAGGGCCCCCAGTCTTATAGTGGGAGGAGCCAGACTGTTCAGCAGTGAAATGGTCTGAGGAAAAAAACTGTGTCTAAGCTTAAAAGTGCTGGCTTTGTGGTAGTGGAGCAAAGAGGCTGTGAGAAAAGTTTGATGGGTCCTTGGTGATGCCAGTGGCTCTCTGGATTGGCATGGTTAATTTCCTGCAGAGAAGGAAGAATGGTCCTGACAAACTTCTCTGCTGGTTTAATGAGCTGCAGAAGGGACTGCCAGTCTGAGGTGTTGCAGGATCCAAACCAGGCCTTGATGCAGTTTACAGAAACGCTCTTTATGGTGCCTCTGTAAAATGTGGACAGCTTGGGAGGTGGCAGTAGTTAGGGCTAGGGTTATGTATAGGGTGTTTTGTTCTCCCTGGTTTCTTATGCAATCCACTCTCACTTTCTTTGTCTGGTCAATATTTAGAAACAGACTGTAGGCCTTGCACCAATCAACCTCCTGTCTCATTTCCTATCACTATGCAGACTCATGTCCTCCACTTATGAGGACGATCATGGTGGTATTGGCTTTATACTTTCTAATGATATTAGAGGTGCTCTTCTGTTCGATGTCAGGAGTGTGAATAGTTGGGGGCTGAGGCAGCAGCCTTGGGGGTTCCTATGCTCAGTCTGATTTTAGCAGAGGTGATGTCCCCTAAACGGACAGACTGTGGTCTCTCTGTCAAAGTCCTGGATTAATTGCATAATGAAGCTGTCAAGCCAAGCTGTTCAAATTCAAATTCAAAATAACTTTATTTGTTCCCAAGGGGTACACAGGGCAGTTGAACAAGGACACAATGACATTGTGTCAGCTGTGACACTGTTACAGCTTTTGGATAAATTATTGAGTTGTGTTGAGCTGAAATTGACCAACAGCATTCTTACATAAGAGTCTATATTGTTCTGGTGTGTCAGGGTAGTGTGTAGGGCCAAGCTTATGGCATCCTCTGTGGACCGGTTGGAATGGTATGCAAACTGGTATAGATTGAAGATGGCAGTGATGTGTCCTATGTCCGAATGTTTAAAATACTTCATAGTACGTCGATAATCATTTATCACTGAAGTAGATATCTTCTTAGGCACCTATATGATTGTGGCAATTTTGAAGCACACAGGGACAAATCGTTGTCTAAGTAAGGTGTTAAAATTGTCTGTCAGCACAGTCCCTGAGATCCTGACCTGGAATATTGTCAGGACCAGCAGATTGATGTGAGTTCACTTTACATAGACTGTTCCTCACTTCTGCTGTGGATAGCTGGTGTGTCTGTTCACTGGGGGGAGGGTTGGTATTCTCTACCTTGTTCTTTGCCACATCAGACTGGGGGAAGTACTGGTTGAGCCTGTCAGGTATCACAATCCATGCTATGTGATGACAGTTTCTAATCTGTCAGGGCCTGTATTCCTTACTCCATATGCTATGTGGTTTTGGTGTCCTGGAAATGACCTTTTCGCAGCTGTGATGGCCGTTGTCGGAGCAGCCCTACCTGTCCTTAGGGCCACAGAATCACGAGACCTGGGGCTTTGCATACATTTCATTGTGAAAAAATGTATATAAACAAAAACAAAAAATGATTTATCAAACCCGGTGGACACACATTTCCCTTGGAATTATTGGAACTGTCTTTTAAATGTTTGTTTGTGCATGAGCCTGATATTCTGCTCAGTTGCTGCCCACAAACAACCATAAATGGTCAATGCAAATAAGCTACATTCTCATGCAATATGCAAATCAAGCCTTGGTTGCAATGTCTGATGATAGCGGCAGTAAATAAAAAAAACAAGAGGAATTTTGAATAGTGTAAGGAAAGGGCATGACAAAATGTTATACTTGGTGGTCGAAGCACATTTATCACAAACAAGAAAATCCTTGGTAGTATATTTTCTAATGCTTTACAGTATTTATCACACTTATATATAGCACAGCTGTTTCTAGGACTTTTGCACTTTCAGATTAGATGCCAAACTGCATTTCGTGGTCACAGTGCTTTTACCTTGTGCAATGATAATGAAGTTGAATCTGAAAAAGTGTGTTGAATGGCAACACATAACGGCTGCAGTAAATACTATCAGCTCTACAAAATGCCCTAAAGAAAAAAATCAGATCTGAAGATAGAGAGAAAAAAACAACTTACTGTGCATAAGGCCAGTTTTATTGTGACTACTGGTGGGAAACCGACCAACAGTCACCAGCAAACACTCAAACTTATACACGTATGTGGCAATATTAACAGAGCATGCACTATTATGTGCTGTTGTGTTGAGCTAGAATTGCCCCCCCCCAGAATTTTCTCTCACCCCCCCCCCATCTCAGCAAAGATAATTAAAGGATACAAATAACACAATAAGTCAAGGTGAATTGAAATCCATTTTAAATGGGTATGATCAATAAAAAAATAAATCACTAGTACACTCATTGCACATTGGTCCACGCTTATCACGTTAACTTAGGACTGGTTTATATTCAACTCTCAAAACATCATTGCTTACACATATGTAGTCACCCTATGCATTATCTAGTCATTAAATCGTAACGGAATGACAGGATTTATAAGCAGTAGTATACAATATATGATAATGTAGTGTAAAATGCATTAGGTTGAATCTCCTGTACTAGCTGTACAGGCGTGGTTTCAAGCTACGTACTGATAATGTTACAGAAACGCACAACCACCTACATTGTGTTAAAAAAACGACCTTTATTTTATCACGACAATTCGAAGAACTAAAAGCTATGAAAACTTTACCATACAACACTGGAACATGGCAAATGGCTTCACTTTCAATTTATCAGATGAATATGCAGAATCTGTTTGAATGCATCAAAACGCGTATGTCACTGTCCCCTGTAATGGATTGGCATCCTGCCCATTGAGTTTATTAGCTTGTCCCTCAGTCTTCCTGCAGTATCTATTGTTGAAGCAGTCATAGTAGATGGTTGATGGATGAAATTTGTGACAATTCAATTGCTATTAATGCTGTCTGGTATTAGACCAGCTACAGAGATACATATATTGTGTTTTTGAACTGCGGATTATATTTTTCCCCTTCAGAGGCAGCTCCTAATGGTCCAGATATTCTGACATTAACAATGGAGGATCTTAATAAACTCCTGCCAGAAGAACGAAATTTTCAAGTTCGAAGAAATATCATGGGTCTCATCAATGCTTTTTTACAGGTAAACCACATTAAGGAACAAAACACATTATAACAACAAAAAATAACTTTTTTTTTTTTTTTTACTGTGATTTGCCTAAAACAGTTGAATCATAGACATTTTGTAGGCTTGACTCTCCAGATTATCAGAATTTGCATGTTATCTGCCATCTCACCTCTAGTGTCAGAACAGTGTCTGAATCACTTATCCTGTCAACCTTAACACCGTCCACAAAAATAAACAGGACCATGCAGAGACTTTTTGAGCAGCAGGTGCTGAAAGGTAAAAAGGGGCATCAGTACCTTTAAAGCTCATGCACAAGTTCACATCCTGATATCTGTGGCTATTGTTAGAAATCCAGAGAACCTCAGAAATAAATGTTATTACATTATTTGTAATTGTATGAATATTTCATATAGTTTGTGCAAAATGGGCAGGTTCAGGCAAAACTCCTGCATGTAGGTGAGTCGTAGTACAGTTGAATCTCAGTTCTCAAACTTAATCCACTCCAGAAGGCTATTCGAGAACTGATTTGGTGAAAACCAAATCAATTTTTTCCATAAGAAATAATGTTAACTGGATCCGTTTCAGACCCCCAAATGATTATCTATTAAAACCTGTATAAATACATACCTAATGCTAAAACCATAAATAAAAACTTTAACACCCATAAATACATGAAATAAATGAAAATTTAGCTGCACTTGTATTGTGGAGAGCTAATGGCATAAAGTTAACTGTTTTTTGTTTATCCAAATCAACAACAGTTTTTCTACCTGTTCAATTGTTCAATTGTCTTTGTTTTGAAAGCACTTTCCCCCCTTTAGCAACATCAGCTCATTTGATGGGCTCTTTATGTTTCATTATGGTGCTAATTGTCAATTTTCGCTATTCCATACAGATCAGGCATGTCACCACCTCTTTCATACTCCTTGATAATTTACTTTCTAAGCTCTCATAACTTTCCTTTTTGCTTTGGTTAGCGGTAGACAAACTCATACACATGCATTCTATCCTTTGTTTATGCGTAAAAAGACGTGCTTTCTCAGACAGGTTTTATCATGAAAGGGTTGGTTGGTCGAGAACCGAAAATATGTTCAACAACCAAGATTTATTTTATCAAGCAATATGATTAAAAACCAAATTGTATGAGGTGTGAGAGGTTTGAGAACCAAGGTTCCAATATCATTTATGGTATTGATTTTATACCTGTTACTTCATTAATGTGTTTTATTGATTAATCTGACATGCTCCTTCACAGCAGGAAAAACAAGTCAGACAAAGTATGAATTCAAGCCCAGATGATGTCATGAGTAAGTCGTCTAAGAAAATGTGTTTGTTATATGATATGTAACAGTTTCCTTAGGGGATTGTATTACAGTAAGTGCAAAACAGTGTTAATATATGTGATCAGAAATAAACAGGCAGGCCTGTAGGTTAATGTGATCAGTCTTTTGCAGAGTTTTAGCTCCTGAGCAGTTACCAGTGGAAATCAATGCTACAGTAGGGAGGAAATGTAGCATTTTATTTCTGAAATTTAAAAAAAAAACAATGCAGAGGCTGTTAGGGATTAAAACACAGGGGTATGTGTTTAGCATTATACCTGGAAAAAATCACACAACCACTGGCCCACTCTCTGAAGGTAAATGTCATCAGTATTATACTGTCAGGTCAGGTTGGGGAGCATGCGCTGATGCAGCTTGTTGCCCCATCCACCACACAGCCAACTTCTTCGGGTTCCTGGCTGGTGATGCCTCCCCAGGCAGACACATGGTCCAGACCCACACTCCAGAAATGGTTATCTATCTGCTGCAGCCAGGTGTTACGTGGGCGTCCGCTCGGCCTAGTCCAGCCGTTCAGGTCCTCAGCAATGAGGATTCTGCAAGCCGGATCACCCTCAGGGAATCACGCCACATGGCTATAGTGCTGTAACTGATACTCCCTCACAATGCAGGTAATGTGCCTCATTCAGGACTCCTCTAGCAACCGCTCATTTAACACAAAGTCAAACCAGCGGTATCCAAGGATTCCCCGAAGAGACACAGTACTGAAGGAGTCCAGTCTTTGTCTCAACTCACTGGATAACGTCCATGTCTCACAGCCATACAGCAAGACAGGGAGCACCAGGACTCTAAAGACTTGGACTTTCGTCCTCTTACAAAGATATCAGGAACACCACACACCCCTTTCCAGTGACCTCATGACCCCCCATTCTCTTCCAATCCGTCTGCTGATTTCATAGGAAGAGTCACCTGAGACATGAATGTTGCTGCCGTGGTAGGTAAATCTTTCAACAAGGTCGACATTCTCCTGGCAGACAGACACACTACTGATGACTGTGCCCAAAAACATCCACAATCCTAGACACTCAGACTCCTCACTCAGTCTCTCGAGAGCCCCCAATCAGAGCCTCCATTGACTCCGCTAAAATCTCAGCATAGTTAGCAAAGTCGAGATCAGTAAATCTTTCTTCACCAGTGGATGCCGGTTCAGCTGCTGGACCCCATGACTCTGCCCAACACCCAGTCCATACAACCATTGAACAGAGTAGGGGCAAGAACACACCCCTAGCGAACCCCAGAATCAACTGGGAAGACGCAGAGGTTCTCCCTGCACTCTGCACAGAACTCACAGCATAAGCCGGCCATGACGTCCAGCAACTTCCGGAGGGATCCCGCAAAGTCTCAGGTTGTCCCACTGGGTAACTCGATCAACTGAGTCAAACACTTTACGAAAATCAACAAAGGCTGCAAAGAACCTCAGCTGATATTCACGCTTGTGCCAGGATACAGTCAATGGTAGACTTCTTAGGCGTAAAACCAGACTGCTCCGGTCACCGACAGGTGGGCAAGTGATCACGGATCCTGTTAAGGATGACCCTGGCAAGGATCTTAGATGGCATTGAAAGCAGTGCTATCCCCCTGTAGTTGCCGCAATCCAGGTGATCACCCTTTCCTTTTCAGATAGGGACTACAAGTCCTGTTTTCCAGTCAGTTGGGATGACACCTGACTCCCAAAAGGGAGCAAAGATTGCCTGAAATACCAGGAGGACAGTCTTACCACCAGCCTGGAGAATTTCACCTCAGATACCACAGATTCCTGCGGCCTTCTCTACCCCCAGCTGATTCACCACCTGTCCAATCTCAGTGAGATTGAGTGGTTCACAGCTGATTGGAGGGTCAGCCTCAAGAGCCATGGACCCAGAGATGTCCAGTGTCCTAGCTGGCGGGTCAGCTTTAAACAACTGCTCAAAGTAGCTGGCCCAGCAGGTCACAACTGCAGTGTCATCCGTAAGGATCGTTCCATCACCCACTTTGACTGCAAGTCTCCAAGGAACAGATTCAAATATGTTTAATGCTTCGATTCCTCTGTAAGTAGGATGTGGGTTACTAGACCACAGATGGTGTGTCACCTGCTCACAGATTCGTCTAACAAAAGCCTCCTTATCTGCCCTCAGAGTCCTCACAGCTGTCCTCCTCAGTTCCCGGTACAGACTGGAGTTGCCACCAAGTCGTGCACTATGACTCAATAATTTCCAGGGTGCCCTGCGAGATGAAACACCTCCTTCTGGGAACACTGGCAACACCAACACAACCCTCAGCAACCTTCAGGGTCTATCGCAGAGGGTCTCCCACATCACATTAGAGTTAGCAGTTGCACCCAAGTCTGCAAGTTCCTCACACAAAGGCTTGATCTTGGAGTCTGGCTAAGTTCAGCCTCATAGTCCTAGTTGATGGTAGCCTACTGGATCTAAGCTGAATCTTCAGTGTAACAACAACAAGTCTGTGGTCAGAATTCACAAACTGGGCACGTCTGTAGACCCTGCAATCCTCCAGGTGCCTCTAGTGTCTGCTCACGAGGATGTGATCGATCTCTTTCGTTGCACCACCAATATTGGAGTACGAAGTCCAACGATGCGGCTTAGGGCTTGGAACCAGGATCCAGTGACCTGCAGTCTCTGACCTTTTGCAAAGTCAAGAAACACTTTCACGTCGGTCTCCAGACACATGCTCATAGCCAGCCCAGTCAGTGCCAGTGGTCGCATTGAAGTTATGACCAGAGGAGTGTCTCCTTGTGGGCACCCATCAACCACCAAGTGAAGTTGCAAGTAAAATATCTCCCTCAACGAGACATCACTCAACATGGTCAGAGCATACCCTGAGATAACAGACAGGACACCCAAGGAGTGCCTTAGCCTAAGTCTCATAATACGCTCATTGAAAGGAATGACATCAGACACCAGCAACAGCTACTTCCTGAACATGGCAGCCATCAGACTGACCAGACAAAAAATAAGTATACCCACCTGCAGAGATCTGACCATTCCCCAGTCTTCGTACCTCAGAGAATGCCACCACTGAAATGCGGAGTTTACGAAGCTCCTCAGAGCAGCGAAAAATGGTCAACTTGCCAGAGAGACAAGATGTTCCATGCACCTACATGGATGAGCTACCTGAAACTGGGACCCAAGTGCCGCCATGCAGCAGGCGATGCCTCAGCACCACATCAGCCCCAATCCCCAACAGGGCTGACTCTGTTAGCTCTCTGATGGTTTTGACTCTTCCGGGCATAAGGCTCCCGAAGGCTTTCCCCCATCCCCTTCATGATGCATGCAGCCTTCCTATGGTCAGCTCCAGCAAAGCTACTCCCGCGGAGAGCAGAAGGATATCGTGCCTGTTTATTCTGAGTTGTTGTGAGTTGTTTTTATGGTGGCTGTAGTGCTAATCCTGCCACCAACCCCTGGAATTGTTCCCTGCAAGTTGGAAGACCGCTTGCAGGTCCGGATGTAATTTAACGTCATACCTAGAACATATTGTACTGTGCAGTAAGAAAATTAAAATTCAGTTTCTGCTGTTGAGTGGCGACTAGGGATCACTACTCTTTGGATACAGTGGCATCCCATCTATATACAGGTACACTATATGGACAGAAGTATTGGGAGACTTGGCCATTACTCCCACAGGTAATTTTATGATATTCCATTCTAAATCCATAGGCATCAATATGATGTTGATACCCCTTTGGCAGCGATAACAGCTGGTACTTTTCTGGGAAGGCTTTTCACAAGATTTTGAAGTGTGTCTGCAGGAATTTTTGCCCATTCATCCAGAACAGCATTTGTGAGGTCAGACACCAATGTTGGATATGAAGGCCTGGCTTGCAATCTCTGTTCATCCCAATAATGTTTGATGAGGTTAAGGTCAGGGCTCTGTGCAGGCCAGTCAAATTCTCCCATACCAGACTCACCCAACCATGTCTATATGGATCTTGATTTGTGCACTGGGGCAGAGTCGTGCTGGGACAGAAAAGCGCCTTCCCCCTATAATATGGAGAGGTTGTTATGATGGTTCTTATGCTGATCTCACCCTGTCGTGTGAAGATCTCGCTTTGAGGTCCTACAGTTCAAGGTTCTTTACACCAACCTGGACAAGAACGTGGAGCCAAACATCACCAAGGAAAGTTAGCTTCTGGGGAAGGGCACTGAGCCTACTGGTGAGGAGACTGAATCTGAGCAGAGCAGCTTTGTACCAGCAATGAAACATTCCACTGGGCTCTCAGGAAGTGAAGGGTGTCTTGGGGCCTGAGTGATCTCTACATACATATAGACAGTGACCTCTAAAGCCAGTGGACAGGTGGCCATGTACACAATGTGTACAAATATCAGATATGGCAAATAAACAGACCATAAGTACTAATTTCTTTCACCTTTTAACTAATATTTATGTTTGGG